CCAGCTGATGTGTATGGTGTGTTCATGGCAAGCATGATAAAGATGTAAAGATCAGCAGAACCTTGGCCCTCAGGAAGCTGTGACCGCTTAGCCTCCATGCAGCTGAGCACCCAGCACCACGTGAAGGGACTCGCAGTCCCAAGAGACTCCAGGGGTTCTGGATTTTCTCCACATGGAGGACCTTCCACGCAGAGCCTTTCCCGAGCTAGGAAGGAGTCATTGGGACCAGCAAAACCAGACAAGAAAGCTGATGCCTCTGCTCAGGGAGCATGGCAGCCACCAGCCGAGGTGCAGAAGGGCCAGGTTTGCATCTGCTGAAAAGGAACCTCTAGTCCAGGGTTTCCTGTTGCACACGGCTAAGCTGCTGTTACTTTAGACATCCACAGGCATTTTACATTAGAACTAGAACAGGAGAATTCTGTTTCTGAAGCTTAAGGAGTGCAGTTTTCACAGAGCAGCACCAGTGAGAAAACTGTCTGGATCTCCCTATCCCTGCCTCAGGACACCAGCCGGGGTACAGGTGTCAGAACCCCAGAAGACACGGAGAGACACCAGGAGTGTTTGGAAACCTGAACCTGCCCAGAGACAGAAAAATGCCTAGCCGTCTGGAAACCTAGTTTATAAGAGGTGTTGGAGGCAGCAGGTGTAGAGTTTAATTGGAATCTCTCTACATAGGGAGGTAATACTTCTCCCAGAAACCACTGACCATTTTGCTAAATTGATAGACCCAGATCAGCACCAAGTACATTCTAGAATCTTCCAGAAACACGTGGCTAGCTCTTTCTTAATATTTAGATGTTTTTTCTATGCAGTTTTTCACACACAGAAAAATTGGTAGCTTCTCTTGGTGGAGGTTGTCCTGCACTTAAAGCAGGGAGATGTTGGCTGTAAAGGAGACTTCTTTGGAGTCAATCAGCTCTAGACTCCACATTGTTAGGAAAAATAGAAAGGGGCCAGCAAAATGGCTCAGCAGATAAAGGTGCCTGCTGCCAAGCCTGGCCGTCGGAGTTGGATACCTGGGATCTACATGGTGAAAAGAGAACCAACTCCCCAACGTTGTCCTCTGGCCTCCACCCCATCACACACACAGTACACATTCACACAAGATAAATAAATTACGTACTTCTTAAAGAGGTAAGTCAAAAGGACATGTGGGTACGTTGGTACAAGCAGACTCTGAGGATGAGCAGACAGGACAGAGTGAAGTTGTACATCCCTATCAAGGGCCAGCATTGAGGAAATCTGAAATGGAACACCGTGCCTCATTGGTACAGTGGCGGTACTGTTGAACTGGGAAGAACACGCGAAAGGACTGAGTGTGCATGGCTGTCACTGAGCCAGGGGAGGGACATTGTTGGAAGCATGCCAGAGAGACGTAAGCTGAAAGTTCTCTTTAATCAAACTGCCAGAAGTCATTTAAAACAACTGAGTGCAGTAGTTAATCCCTGAACTCAGGCAGGAGGATCACAAGTTCCAGGCCAATCTGGCTACTGTTTCTCAAGGGGGGAAAAATGATGTTGAAAACTAAAACAAAATATATGATTTGAGCACCCTAGCTTCTGTTTTCTAATGTACAGTCTTGAAATATTATATCTAAAACTTTTTATGGATAGATAAATATTCTCTATAATCTCTATGAGTTCAAGGCCACCCTGGGCTACATAGCAAGCCCCAGGCTAGCCAGGGCAACACCACAGACCCTGTCTCAAAAAAAAAAAAAAAAAAAAAGGTGAAAAAGAAAAGGTGGTGTTGGCAGCAGGTTGGCCTACCTGGTAAAGGCACTTGCCTTGCAAGCCCGTGACCTGACTTCAACATCAGAACTCACATGAAAGTGGGGAGAGAGAACAGACTCAGAGTTAGCTAGCCTCTGTCCTCCAGGCACATCATAATGCATGCTCACATGTGTACACACATACAGTAAATAAAAATGCAGAACCAGCAAGGTGGCTCAGCAGGTAAAGGTGCTTGCGACCAACCCGACAACAAGTTTGGTCCCTAGAACCCACATCATGAAAGGAGAGAGCCAACCCCTCCATACTGTTTTAAAGGCTACAGGTATGCCATACCACAGACATATACACGCATAGTAGATAAGTGTAGTTTTGTAAAGGAAAAATAATAATACAGGTAAGGTATTGGTCTGGCGTGACGGCACACACCTATAATCCCCACACTTAGGGGATTGAGGTGGGAAGATTATAAACTTGAGGTTGGCCTGACCCACATAGTTTGTTTTTTTAAGCAAAAACTGAAAACATAGGTCTTGAACTCTTAAACAAGAATTATCTGCCGTTCACAGTGTTGTACACCTTTATTCCCAGCGTTTGGAAGGCTAGGGCAAGAGACAGCATAGCAATAGTGAGACATCCCAAAGCTGTGCGTGTATGCGTGTGCACATGTGTTTCACATTCATTTTATGGGCACGGATCAAGACAAGTGTGTACCACAGGGTGTATGTGGAAGAGTTGATTGTCTTCCGCCATGTGGGTTCCAGACATCAAGCTGAGGTCATTAAGCATGGTCACAAGTACCTTTACCCCAGCCATCACACTACTCCACCCCCTTTCCGTGTGTTTTTCTGTATTTCTGTATGTGCCTTTTCTTACCCATCTGCAAAGCTCACCTCTCCTCACTCCCGAGGGACTGGTCCTGGCTCCTCCACACCTACCTCCTCCTACCCCACCTGCTCACTCAAGGCTTCTGGTGGCAGAACTCTGGCCCCACTCTGCTCTGAGCTGAGCATGGCCACCGCGCTGCACACTGGCTGTGCTGATGGAGCACTTGCAGCTCTGCCTAGAGGAATGTGTACTGCGATAGGACTGACCACATGCCCTGATGGCTTTGTGAACTCCGGCTCTTCAGAGTCAGAGTATACTTGTCAGCAGTCAGGGCAGAGACAGACAACTGCCTATCTGGATGGAGGGATGTGAGTGCTTACCCTAGCTTTCTTGCTCTCTGTATTGGAAACTGGTAGTAACTAATAGAAAAGAACCCACCCCCAGCTCCCCAGTTCACCCTGGGTGAGGGCCAGCCGGCAGGCCCTGCGGTCTGGTCTGCAGCCTTGGCGCCTCCTGTCCCTCTGGCTGACCACCCCCTTGCCTTCTTTGAGGTTCTCCTACACACGGTCTGCCTTACAGAGCCTCCACGCCAGTGGACACAACCTCTTGCCTCTGACCATCATTTGTCATTTTTAGTAAATCAGTTATCTCCGTTCTCTACTCCCCAGCCGAATGTATGCTCTGCTTCAGCCTCTAGCCAAGTGGGTGGTACACACACTGTAGACCTAGCTAATATAGGATGAGTGGGAGTGAATGGCTGAGGAAGGGCCGGGAGAGGTGCCCATTGCGCAGACTTGAGGACCTGAGTTTGAATTATCTGGCCCACCTATTATACCAGCACTGGGGGACTAGAGATAGGAGGGTCCCTACCAGCCAGCTCCCAGGTTAGTGAGAGACTGTGTCTCAAAAAGTAAAGTGGAGAGCAACTTGGAAGACAACCAGTGTCAACCTTGGCTTCCACATGTGTGTGTGCACATGTATACACACCTACACTACAGATTCGTGCATACACACACACACACAAACACACACACACACACACACACACACACACACACACACACTTGACTTAGTGTCAGCATCCAGCCTGGGGTCTCCTCTGAGTGTTTATTGAGTAATTGAAAAAGTGAATGACAATGTTGACTTTTTGATAAATGAGTTATCTTTTTGCCTCTTCATTGACTGTTCAACGTCACAATCTAGGCTATTTAGAATTGATGAAAATATTTGTAACTGTCTGGTCCAGTATAACTCTGTCTACTCACAAGTTTAACAGTAAGAATGTTTACCTCCTGTCTTTGTGCAGATCACCGACATTTCTGCACCCCTGTCTTTCAGGTGGCAGAGCGGGCACTATATTACTGGAACAATGAATACATTATGAGTTTAATCAGTGACAATGCAGCGAAGATTCTGCCCATCATGTTTCCATCCTTGTACCGCAACTCAAAGACCCACTGGAACAAGTAGGAATCGGCAGCCCGTCCACCCCCTGGTCATTTTTAAATAGCCAGGCCTTGCTATGCAGCAGTGTGAATTGTCTCTGTGGCCTGTTGTTTTGCCCCCTCACCCCAATGGCAAGCCAGTACAAAGGCCTGTTTGTCAGCCTCTGGGTCCCTGCTGCTCCCAGCAGTAGCACTATCTTGCCCTCTCCTGGAGCCTCGGGGGAGTTGGAAGGTCACTGCAAAGTTCATAGGATCAGTCCTGCCAGAGCACGGTGGACGCCATCAGTCCTTAGTTTCCCCTTCAAGTCCCACAACACATCAGGGGAGCACATGGGTTAAACTCCAGGGCTGCCCTCTTGTGCACATTACCTGAGGGTGAAAAGAGAAATGGGTGGCTCCTGTGGCTGAGGAGTAAGGAGTGTTCCGTCCCCTCCCTTCGTGAAAGCTCCCTGATGCCTTGCAAGGAACTCCATATGGGGGCGCCATATGTGTTGGATGCTGAGCTCAATACTCAGCATTAGCCAGATGTGAACACCAGAGCTCCCCTTTGCTCTGTGGGGCATCATAAATACAGTCTTTCTGTTATTTCCATCTGAATAATTTACCTGTAATTCTTTTTTCTAGTCAGGCTCCAGGCAGAGTGACTTTGGCTGCTGTTACCAGGAAGGTGAACTTCCTGGCCTGGCAGGTGCCTACAAGCCCTGACTGGGGAAGCAGACTGAATTAGAACTAGCAGCTTGTATAAAAAACCTAGTGATCTTGTTGCAGGTAGGATCTCAGAAATAAGGGAGACTCGGAGGTTTAGAGGGGAAGGAGAAGTGGCAGGAGGTAGGAGAAGGATGAGAAGGGTCCAGCGGCGGCATTTCACTGTGGCATTCCCTCTGCAGGACCATACATGGCTTGATATACAATGCCCTGAAACTCTTCATGGAGATGAACCAAAAACTCTTCGATGACTGTACCCAGCAGTTCAAAGCAGAGAAACTGAAGTAAGTGGTCCTTGCACAGGTTCCAGGGTGGGTTTTTATTGTTTTCCATAATATTAATATTCCACCACCATTGTTAGTCCTACAGAGTTAGTCTTCATTGTGAACTTTTGAAGAGACCCTGTTCTGCTCTTGCTTAGGAAGCAAGTGAAAGGTTGGTGTTGGCCTATTGCCAGAGAGTGTGTGTCTAACCCAGGGTCCTCGCCCCTCCACCAGATGAGTCGTCTTTGCCTTTCTCAGGGTGCTGCTTCTGGGCACGTGGGACTCGAGAGGCTGCATCTTCGCAGAGACTGCCTAGATGTTGATTGAAGTGCTCTGTCTCTAGGCTAGACACATAGTCATGTGATTGATTAACGGTGACTAGCAGGATGACCCAGTGGTACAGACACTTGCTCCACACGTCTGATAACCTGAGCTCAGAACCCGTGTGAAACAGAAGGAAAACACGGACTCAGAGAGTTGGCCTCTGGACCCCACACCCATGCCATGCTATGTACCTACGTAATAATAATGCACCTTATCTATCTACTTAGAGAAGTCACTTTTCAGCCAGGCATAGAACACGAGTCCATCACCTCAACATTCTGGAGGCTGAGGCAGGAGGAGTACTGTGAGTTCCAGGCCAGCCTTGCTGTGTAGTGAGACCTTGTCTTCTTGAAGAAGAAGAAAATCACTGTTCCTAACCTAACCCAGTGTGAAGTGCTGGCAGGTTTTTAGTCTCTGCTCGCCACTTAAAAGTGACTAAGGTAGATAAACTACAGGGTGTCTGTCCCCCCAACCACCATTTCTTTGTTCTTTGGATAATATGTGAGGTTTGGCTGCATGTCTGGCTCTGTTTTGGTTTCTGATAATACAGCAGTGAAGGCAACCAAAGTCCTTGCCATAACAGGGTAGGTGGAGTAAAGCAGAGCACACTTTGAGTAAAATACAGAATGTGTGTCGGGGAAGCACGGGGTGGCAGACCACAGAGAGCTATACCAGACCAGGTCTCCGCCTCCAGGGCAGAGTGCGTACGGGGCTAAGTTAGCATGGTGAGTGTCTAAGAATGAGCTCTCTGCTGTCGCCTCCTCCGCTCCTAGAGAGTCACGGGCTTCCAAAAGTTGCCTGTGGTAGTACATTTCGAGGATTTTGAGAAACAGTGGCCTAAATTCGGTGCCTCTAATGATGGAATCAGAAGCAGTCCTGGTGTCCTTGGAATACTGTCACCTCCAGGGTGCTGGCTCTGGCTTCCTTGGCTCCTCTGCAGACTCGCCCGCCAGTGGGTATGAAAGCAGGCAGCCTATTGGACCTACTTGCAGGAGATGGGGAATATTTTAAACTCGTGTTAAATATTTAGCTTTTTCACTTTTTAAAATCTTTAGTCTAACACTTGGCCAGTTTTTAGGTTTGTTTTTTCACATTGCATGTGTTGAGAGCCACAGTATAAGACATGGAATAAGACCAGAAAGTACCTGGAAAACAAGGTTGTGTTGCTGACATCTCCAGGCGGTCGCCCCCATCCTGCCTGAAGGAGAGTCTTCTCTAATAAATGACGTTTTACTGTTTTTCAGAGAGAAGCTGAAGATGAAAGAGAGAGAAGAAGCATGGGTTAAAATAGAAAATCTAGCCAAAGCGAATCCCCAGGTACTAAAGCAGAGAGTGACGCGGGAGTGTTGAGGCATTGCGTGAATGTTGGATGAAATAGGCCCTGGCTCCCCCCAGAAGGGGCCGTCGCCACTAACACTGTATGTGCAAATGTCCACAATAAACACTTTCCAACTTTGTAACCTTCCTCTTGTAGAAGTACTTATTTGCCACACATCATTTTTACCACAAAATTGACTTTTTCCTCTTCTTTTTAAAAGCTATGATGTGGTAAAAAGAAAGCCAGGATGTAACCTCTTAAGACTGTAATGTTCTTTCTTGCTCAAATGTCATAAATGCTGTCACTTGAACCATATTTCTCTTTTTATTTTCATATTTGAAACAGATGAAGTATGAAGTAGATGAAGTATGCTGATAAACTAACTGACTTCTGCCCTGCTCACGCTAACCTTCCCTCTACCCTAGCTGATGCCCGTATGCTCTCGCAAGGTGAAGCGAGACGCAGATGGTCATATCTGCCAGAGCTGTTGGCAGCTCAGCAGCCTCCATCACTGTTAGCTCTTAGGCTGCCAGCCCTGGGACAGCTTTGGTGTTGTGTCTGCTGGACTGAATGATGAGAGTTATCGGAGGCTTTCTCCTTGCTCTGTGTGTGTCTGATTCTATCAGCCACTTGATAAAACATCTGACCTTTTCCACACTAAGATCTCTCAGGCTTCTCTTGGCTTTCCAGGGAAGAAAATGTTTTACTTAACCGTGTATTTTTCTTTTTGGTGAGAAGTGTGTATAAATTATTATATAAGTTGGATGTGGGTTTTTTAATCTTTGTCATTTAATAAAAACGATACATGAAGATAACGGTGTGTAGTTTCCTATAAAGCAGCATACTGGCCTGCATCCCTTTGATGAAAAGATACTTAATGACAGTCTGTTACAGATCTATGGTTCCACCTAGAACAAATAGCCCGAATTTCCCAGCAGCACTTTCTTCTAAGGCTTGTAGTTTCATTATAGAGATGTGCATTTATGGATAGAGTTTATGTTGAAAATGAGGTTGAAGTACTGAGAGTTGTTTTAAAACATGGGGAAAGCGTACATGGGCAGACTTAGGTGGTTCAGCCTTGGTGACATTGCCCTGGGGGTCCTGCTTTGTTTGGAAGGCTTTATTTAGCTAGGAGTGAAGAGCCTTGGAAAGTGTGCTTTGTCTAGAATATGGAAATAACAATGTGTTGAAAAGACTGCACAGAACTTGTGCTTACGAACTAAGAGCTGGTTGTTGTATCAGCACGGGGCCTGGAGTCACCGCTGCCTGGCAGCAGAGGTTCCTGGTTTATTCCTTTTGATTGCCCTTTAAACTGTCTGTGGTGATAGCATACCTGTGGGGGGGTTGGCATCGGAGCTTTGGTGACCTCCCTTCCCACTGTCCTCACCCTCATCTCTGTGTGGAAACATCTGTCTGTGACAGTCATCAAGAGTCTTGTCCACATACCCCAGCCCCATGACTCAGTGTCTCTAAAGTGGAAAATACTTCATGTGTTAAGACCTCATAGCCGAAAGTGTGGCCTTAGAACTCATTCTCTTGAGAGAAAACTCAGCACTAACTAATTTCTGGTTAGTACTTGTCGTTACAGGACTCGGGTTGGTAGTGGATATATGGGTTTTTAAGCCATTTTCATATCAGCCTTGGTGAGAGTGAACATCAGCTTCACTATCCAAAGGAAGGTTACCAATAATTCAGTGTGTGTTCAGTGGCATCTGGGGAGACATCTTCCCCAAGCAAACCCTCATTTTTACAGGCCAAGCAAGTGTCTCATCTGCTCATAGATGTTGGTGGAGGAGGGATCCAGAAGCTGTGGCCGCTTCCCTGGGTTTTCCATGCCATATTCTTTGTGTAGAATTCTAAAACACTGGTCATTTCCAACACCGGTGTGTTTCGCCCAACCCACCAAATAGACTCTAGGGCATCTTATTACTCACCCCCCACCCCCACCTGGGGTGTTGTGTGAGTGCAGCTGGGCTGTGGCAGGGGATTGTGCCCCAGGTCCTCTACCTTCTGTGCATCCTTGTCCTCTGAGCTGCTGCCTGTTGGAGGCCTGTGCTCTTTGGGGGAAGCCTGCCTGTGCCTACTGGGAGTGAGCTTCGTCTGCTGTGAACCAGCACAACCCATGAGCACAGGATCCTTTCCACTCCTTGGGCAACTTGTGTGGGAAACATCAGGTTATCCTGGAGCATCAAGATGAAGTGTCTGCTTTAGATCAGCCCCCAGGACTATCTCACAGTAGACTTTCATTACTTTCTGTTCCTCCCCACCTGACTTTGAGCACCTAGAGGACAAGGCGCCATGTAGCCTGAATCAAATTATGGAAATTTCCAGTGATAAAAACGTCAGGGCCAAATACAGCCTGGCATCTAGAAGCATGGGCTGCACAAGGGGCCAGTGCAGCCAGACCATAGCACACAACTGAGGCCTGCTCTAGACTGCAGAAGAAAGTGTGGCTCGTGTCTATAGGGAGGTTCAGAAAGCAATGGCACTGGGATGGGATGTGGTCTGTCGGGGGGGGGGGGGGTCCCAGCCCTACGGTTGTCACCCAGTCTGCACTTGAGGCAGGGGCCCAAGACCCAGGCAAGTCAGAAAAATAGTAGAGAAGCGCAGGGCTGGCCCTGAGGGAGCTGTGATAATACTGGAGAGAGAACAGACGCCATCTGCCTTTATCCCTCCCAATGTGTGTCAGGGGCACGGTGGCCCAGCTGGACTTGCAGGTTAGGAAGCTCTTCTGTTCTGGCAGGATGTTGTGCTGGAAGAGCCAGGCCCGCAGGGGACTGACTCTTGGGGGAACGTGTGGAAAGGAGGCTGCTGAGCAGAGCAGGTCGCAGGAAGGGCAGGAGAGCCCGAGGGCTGTAGGAAGAAACTGAGCGCCAGGTCTGGTTACAGCAAGTACACGGTCTGCAGGGTAAAGCGAACGCGTGGTCAGTGCCCAGGAGGCAGCTAGGTAGAGAGAGGTCAGGAGCCAGACTGGCCCGCGCAGAGCTGCCAGCCAAAGGGGTGGGTGGCCACAAGCCTGGGCCCAGGGTCCAGTGTCCCCTTCAGGCTGGAGGCTTCTTGACAGCACGTATACTGCAGGGGAAGGACTGAGCATAACCCCCGACCTGCAGCAGACACTGACTGTCCCCGCCACCCTGGCCTGACCACAGGGAGAGCGAGTGCCAGCAACTAGCAAGCCCTGACTACATCCTCTGCTCACAGAGCCCTAAGTCACTGGGGCCAGGGTAGAAGCAGGTGGGGGAGGGCTATCGACCGTTACAACCTGCCGGATGCCCCTAGAGCACAAGGGAGTGGAGAGGTGGGGAAGCGGAGCACAGGGTGCCAGGTCAGAGGGACCAACCATAATCCAGGCTGCATTAGTTCTGGTGGCAAGCAGGATATCGGAATGTGTTGAAATACTGAGGACGTGGAATGAAGGATTGGGGGCAGCTGCCCCAGGCTGGGTGTGAAGCAGTGAAGGGAAGAGAGCTGGGGAGAGAAGGGGCTCAAGCGGCTATGGACGGAGAATAGGGTGAGAGGTGACCATGTGCTGTGGGCAGCCCCCCTTCAGTGTGTGAGCGCCAGAGACGCAGGAGGGCTGCGGGCTACCTGGATGGAGATGAACTCAGGGGAGATGGAGAGGGGATCTTGGGGTCAGCAGAGGGTCACTCCCATAGCCTAGCCTGCAGAAAGGTGAGCTCCTTTCCAGTATCCGACAGGCAGCAGCCCACAGGCTTCATCAGTGGGCACGCAGGCAAGTTTGTCTCCCACCGTGTGGCTTCTGGTGGGAGAGGGCTGCAGGGAAGGGCAGTGGGCCAGCGTCCCCTGCAGTCTGAGGGCCCTAAGTGCAGACCCAGCACTGAACAGAGAGTGACTCCACACTTTGCATTGCAGTATGCAGTGTATAGTCAAGCCAGCGTCATGAGCATTCCGGTGGCAATGGAGACAGATGGGCCTCAGTTTGAAGATGTGCAGATGCTGAGAAAGACAGTGAGCGACGAGACTCGTCAGGTAAAGGTGCATTGAGCTCAGCAGGGCAGTGCCCGCTACAGATGTGCTTGACGGGCCCGTACGTTCCGCTAAGCTAATGCTGTAAAGGGAAATGCAGTCACTTGTTTAGAAACATCTGGAGATCTGAGTGATCAGATCGCTAGAAAAGTTTTTAACAATTAAGTGTATGCCTGCAATTTGTTGCTTCATTTACCTTAGCAACAGAAGCCCAACTCCTAACTGTGTGTTCTCTGTTAGCTTGAGCAAAATCAGAAGCTTTGTGGTAGCATCTTGCCATTCACTTCCCCTGTGCAGCCCTCCCCCTTCTGCTCTGGCCCAGAGCACTGCCTTTAGTTCCTCATAGCAGGTGTTACACCCCTCACCTCCCCGGACACCAAGATGGGGAAGCTTAGCCTCTTCCAGGACCCAGAGCTCCTGTGGCAGGCCAGGGCTCGGCCAGCAGCACTTCCAGTAACTCCACAACTCCACATAACTGTTTAGAACAGTTCTGATCCAGTTCTTTTTGCCCAATTGAGAACGTACACAGAAAGGTTTCCAAGAGGGTGACCCACTGAGCTCCTCTGAGGGTCCTGAGAGTCTCATTCCTCTGGGCATGCTCCCTGTTCCGGGCAAGTGTAAACAATGCCCAGATGGGACCTGCAGGTGTTAGTTATTCTCCCTTGTCAATTTTGGCCCCCTTTGACCAATAACAGGATCCCTAGACGTTAGCACTCAGATTCTAGAGTGTAGAAGGGAACCCCTGGTTGCTGCTTACTGCTCGTGATGTCCATTGGAGCTCAGTTAAATAAACAGAAGGATTCGCTAATCTCTTTTGTTTGGTTCCAGTAAATCCTCACCCGATAAGATGGGATGAGGCATTACTAAGAGTGGGCAGTCTAGCCAGCTGAGCCGCCATCAGCCCCAGCCACACGTGTCTGCAGAACACCAGACATGGAACCTTCTGAACTG